TAATTTTGAGTTCCTTATATTTTACCTAATGGCTGCATAATTTTTTAAATTACTTATTTTGTAAATAATATTTTTATTCCTATAAGTAATAGGTATGTCATTTCTTACCACAAATTAAATTATTAATTAATATTTTACAATATATAAATACATATACATACATACTATCAATTTAAAAAATATATCAGTTCGTTAAGATTGGTAGAAGAATATTTTTAAGACAAACCATAGTATCAATTTTTAAGAATATTTTTATTCCTATAAGACAAACCATAAGATTGGTAGAAGAGTATTTTACTATTTTTTATTTCTAAAATTAAAAAAAGCATAAGTTGATTATAAATCCATAAATTTGATAGATCATGCATAAATCCACCTTTCAACTTTTTCCTTCCATTATAATCATTTAAAAATACAAAAAAAAAGAAAATCAATTTTTGTAACTTGTAGATTCCTTAATTTTTTATTTTTTATTATTTTTGAGAAAATTGATAGATTTATCAATACAATCCAAAGGCATGATAGATCTAACAAGAGATCAGCCTATCCCTGCATTTCATGCATATCGCATTATATCAAATTTGTTTCAAAATTGTATCAATATGTACCGTCCCATATCGATCAATATATATAATTGACACAATTTGATCCATACTTATCAGCATGGGTGGAAAACCAAAATTCTTTATATTTCATCATGCCACATTTTAGTCAATTTGAATATTGATACACATGCCTTGTATGAGATGTATTGTATCAATCATGGTTTAAAGATTTGATACGTGCAATGTAATTTTTTCTGTTTTGAAGTTCTAAGAATTGAGCCAAGACATCTCTAAGAAGGGTATTTACCCTTCAAAAGTGGGCACATAACCAAATTCTCAGTATTTATAGGGGTGCAAGATAGGTACCCCGATTTAAAGAATTTACATGTACTGGGCCCAGGCTTCCAGGTTGTTCCATTCAAATTTTTACAAAATTTCTACCTGAGTCCACCCAAGTTCCAGCCCTATCTGGAAATGTTCTATCATGAACCATTCAATGTGGTCCGAGATTTTCCTTTTTTTTTTTTTTTTTTTTTCTTTTTACCAGGGAGACATGGTACAGGAAAAGCTTTAACCAATCAAAGATTTTGATTAATACCACCTGATTGATCACCTCTTTTGTGATATGGCCCTAAGCTTTTCTGATATCATAACCTTACATGAAATATCAGACTCATCGTACCTAGATGGAGAAAAAGAATCCATGTCAAAACCCATTTACGAAATAAAAATAGAACGAGCCCTTGAAAATCTAATACATGTGCCATATATTGCTTATCACATTGGTATTCTCAACCTTGCTTAATCCAAAGCTGCATTGAATCTGGATTTGTTCCTCACAGAAAAGCTCACACCAACCTGACACCACTATCAGTCGTGCTTTAGAAATATCTAACCATACTTGTATGTTGTCATTCATTGGAAGATATTCCTAATGCATGGTTGTGATATTTTGTAAGGTTGGTGTGAGGATTAAATCTGGTTTGGTCTAGATTTGTTACCCACAAGATGACATCTATAACCCTCTTCACGTTATGAGTGTTAGACAGTGTATCTTCTTAGCTCCAATTAGATTGATGTACTGATACATTTATTGTAAATGAATAAAAGTATAGAATTGTTTCATGTTATCATTGGTGTGTTTCTGTGTAATAACCCCTTAAATTGAACACTTGTGAGATTCGTGTTAGTTTAGAATGTTCTTAGCCGTTGGATAGACTTTGGGAGATTATCCTACCAAGGTTGACACTAATGTGCTACCAAAGAAGTTGGGATAGCCTGTCTCGGCTGTTAGGATTAGACCCAAAGCATATGTAGTGTGTCTTTGTTTGAAGCACTGAACTTGAACCATTTTCCATTTATGCTCTAGACCTTGGAGATTGATGAATAAAATTGAAAAATTACACTTAACCTCTATACTTAATTATGGTATTGCACTGAGTGTCGGATTGGGTTGTCTTTGATATGCCAATCAATGAAATCATTTGGAGGTCAAAACTTAGGTATGTTAGGGCAGTCTGAGAATTCATTTTAGTGGGTGATCATAGTAATAGGATCAGCCCCTTTGTCGAACAAAGTGAATGATCGAGATTGTACTCTTTCCGATGAAAACCAAAACTATTAGTAGTTGATTTCAACTGTGTTTGATATTTGTTTTGAAAATATATTTATATGATATTTATATAATATGTTTTGTGAAAAGTGTTTGCAAAAGATTTTAATTCTTGGGACCCATCCAAGTAGAGAGTGTAATACTGCACCTTGCAGTCAGGGAAAAGGTCCTTCCCTGTCAGGTAGCGTTTAATCATTGTGGATGTGGGCTGAGAAGTTAAGTGTAAGAGGCCATTAAGGGTTGTTTACCTGATAAGCTATATCTTACTTAATCCCATTATCCTTGGTTCTTTATAAGATGGCTGGATTTAGGAATCATTTAACTATAAATGTTGGGTCCATTAAGAGCCCATGCTGATGGACTTAGGGGTTCATTGCATTTGGCAGTAAATTCGGATAGGCCTTTTCACAGGGGCTAGGCTGAACCCATATGAGCTTATGTGAGATCATTGTTAGGGTCTCACACCATACTAAGAACCTAAATGGGCCAACAACTAAAACCCATGATTAATGAGATTAATCAAGCTGTCATGTGACTTGGGTGAATATAGGTTTGGATATGGGTCGGGAGCACCCATTCTCATAAGAGGATAAGTCTTATCCATTGATAGAGTCCAAATCCAAATAAAGATTTGGATTAGGAACCTCTTAATTCGATTAGGAGTGGTGCTCCTTAACGCTTATAAAAAGAGGAGGCGAAATGTTCTGATGAAGGCGGATTTGGCCCTCCAGTGAAAATATGACACCTGGCACCTCATGCCAACTAAGTGCAGCTTCTTGACAACTAGGTAGCTCGCCACTTAGGGGCAGTTTGGCACTTACAGGTACCCTGGTGTCTTACGAAGAGCTCACCACTTAGGGGCAGCTCGGCACTTATAGGCAGCCTAGCGTCTTACGAAGAGCTCGCCACTTAGGGGCAGCTCGGGACCTACAGGCAGCTCGGCATAGGTAGCTCGCCACTTAGGGACACCTCGACATAGGTAACTCACCACTTAGGGGCAGCTTGGCATAGGCAGCTCGCCACTTACAGGCAGCTGGCCACTCCACATGCAGCCTAGCATCTTACGAAGAGCTCGGCACTTACAGGTAGCTCGGCATAGGTAGCTCGCCACTTAGGGGCAGCTCGACGTATCATAGGAAGATCTCCTGCCTGACAACCGTACCTGACAGATCTGGTGATCTGCGCCCACGTCTCTCGCCAGGCGGCACCGTGCCTGCCAGCCCTGAGAGTTGTCCCTTGCCTGGCAGAGCTGTACCTTGCAACAACTGCTTGCACCCGCCACCTCAGCGCTGGCAGTAACGGCTGCGGCAGAGAGACAGAGGCGGTTATGCCTGACCTGACAGAGGCGGTTACGCCTGATTTGACTAGACACCGCTATATAAGGACTCCGACCCCCAAAGACAAGGGGGGAATGAAAAAATGGAGGTAATCCCTGCTCTCTAGCTCTCTCATTTCTCTCCAAGCTCCCTACAATCAGAATGCTAACTTAGGCATCGGAGAGTCCCCGCCGGGAAAATATCCCCGGGTCCTCTGATTCAGTTCTCGCAGGTCCCTCAGCTCCCGCCGCCTACAAAGGAGAGGAGATCACCTCATGCAGAGGGCAGTCGGGTTGCGCTACACTAGGGAGCTCCACCATCCCCTGAGTTACAGGTTGCCTAGGAGCAGGTCAAATGACGAGTCCTCCAAGGTAGCTCACCACCAGGGAGCTCCACCATCCTCTCCTGGGAGTAGGTCAAATGACGAGGCACTTAGCCAAAAAAAAAAATTGATACATCACAAAAAATTGGTACGTGACCAGAAATGATTACATCAATTGGCGCCGTCTGTGGGAACACGCTACAAAAAGCTAAGTTCTCATCCTACCAAAGCTAAGTTCTCATCCTACCAAAGCTAAGTTCTCATCCTACCAAAGTTAAGTCCTCTTCTCCCGGAAAGCTAAGTCCTCACTTTTTAGAATTGAAGTTCTCGCTTTATAATTTACATCTTTTATGAACTCAAAGACTATGTAGGGAGCCAGTAGACTAAGTAGCTCTACCAACTTTTAATTCAGTTAAAATCTCATCAGTCCTCTCCGCAAGGTCCCCTCTACAAAGATGAGCTCTTCGTGGCTTCCGTGGTAGTTGGCGGCCAACAGACTACATAGGCACCCTTGCTGGTCGAGCCTTCCAAGGCTCCCGTGTGAGTTGGTGACCTAAAGTTAGTAGTGCCGCCCTCGAAGGTCAAGCTCCTAGTAGCTTCTTGTAGGAGTGGGTGACCGGCATTACGAGGCTGATGCAGCGCAATCACGGGTAGCTCGGCACCTGGTTAGCTCGACACCTCACAGGTAGCTTGGCACCTAGTCAGCTTGGCACCTCAAAGGTAGCTCGGCACCTGGTCAGCTCGGCACCTCACAGGTAGCTCGGCACCTCACAGGAAAAGCCTACGGGCCACATTACTGCTTAAGACCCAGTCGCCTCTTCGGCACGGGCAAAGTCAAAAAAGAGTGGACTATGAGTCGCTCCCAAAGCCTACATGCCACATTACTACTTAAGACCCAGTCGCCTCTTCGGCACGGGCAAAGTAAAAAAGGAGTGGACTACAAGTCGCTCCCAAAGCCTATGGGCCACATTACTGTTTAAGACCCAATCGCCTCTTCGACACGGGCAAAGTCAAAGAAGAGTGGACTACGAGTCGCTCCCAAAGGCTACGGGCCACATTACTGCTTAAGACCTAGTCGCCTCTTTGGCATGGGCAAAGTCAAGAAGAGTGGACTACGAGTCGCTCCCAAAGGCTACGGGCCACATTACTGCTTAAGACCTAGTCGCCTCTTTGGCATGGGCAAAGTCAAGAAGAGTGGACTACGAGTCGCTACGGGCCACATTATTGCTAAATACCCAGTTGCTTCCTCAGCATGGGCAAAATCAGCAAAAGTAAACTATAAGTTGCCCCTAGAACCTAAGGGCTACACTACTGAACTGGCGGAGACCTCCTCACCTTATAGGCAGCTTGCCACTTGCAGGCAACTCCTAGAGCCTAAGAAATTGGATCAACGCTTACTAGCTCGTCGACTTACGGGCCAAAAGGAGAAATCTACTCCCTTCGCCGAGTTACTCTCAGCTCGAGAGTGGGGGGCAAATGATGAGGGCGGATTTGGCCCTCCAGTGAAAATATGACACCTAGCACCTCATGCCAACTAAGTGCAGCTTCTTGACAACTAGGTACCTCGCCACTTAGGGGCAGCTCGATACTTACAGGCAGCCTGGCGTCTTACGAAGAGCTCGCCAATTAGGGGCAACTCGGCACTTACAGGCAGCCTGACGTCTTACGAAGAGCTCGCCACTTAGGGGCAGCTCGGCATAGGTAGCTCGCCACTTAGGGGCAGCTCGGCATAGGCAGCTCGCCACTTACAGGCAACTAGCACTCCACAAGAAGCCTGGCGTCTTACGAAGAGCTCGACACTTACAAGCAGCTCGGCATAGGTAGCTCACCACTTAGGGGCAACTCGGTGTATCGCAGGAAGATCTCCTGCCTGACAACCGTACCTAATAGATCCAGAGACCTGCGCCCACGTCTCTCGTCAGGCGGCGCCGTGCCTGCCAGCCCTAAGAGCTGTCCCTTGCCTAGCAGAGTTGTACCGTGCAACAGCTGCTTGCACCCGCCACCTCAACTCTGGCAGTAATAGCTGCGGCAGAGAGACAAAGGCGGTTATGCCTGACTTGACAGAGGCGGTTACGCATGATTTGACTGGACACCGCTATATAAGGATTCCGACCGTCAAAGACAAGGGGGGAATGAAAAAATGGAGGTAATCCCTGCTCTCTAGCTCTCTCATTTCTCTCCAAGCTCCCTACAATCGGAATGCTAACTTAGGCATCGGAGAGTCCCCGCCGGGAAAATACCCCCAGGTCGTCTGATTCAAATCTCGCAGGTCCCTCAGCTCCCGCCGCCTACAAAGGAGAGGAGATCACCTCATGCAGAGGGCAGTCGGGTTGCGCTACCCCAGGGTGCTCCACCATCCCTTGCTCTCTAGCTCTCTCATTTCTCTCCAAGCTCCCTACAATCGGAATGCTAACTTAGGCATCGGAGAGTCCCCGTCGGGAAAATACCCCCAGGTCGTCTGATTCAGTTCTCACAGGTCCCTCAGCTCCCGCCGCCTACAAAGGAGAGGAGATCACCTCATGCAGAGGGCAGTCGGGTTGCGCTACCCCAGGGTGCTCCACCATCCCCTGAGTTACAGGCTGCCTAGGAGCAGATCAAATAACGAGTCCTCCAAGGTAGCTCACCACCAGGGAGCTCGTCACCAGGTAGCTCACCACCAGGGAGCTCGTCACCAGGTAGCTCACCACCAGGAAGCTTGTCACCAGGTAGCTCACCACCAGGGAGCTCGTCACCAGGTAGCTCACCACCAGGGAGCTCGTCACCAGGTAGCTCACCACCAGGGAGCTCATCACCAAGTAGCTCACCACCAGGGAGCTCCACCATCCTCTCCTGGGAGCAGGTCAAATGACGAGGCACTTAGCCAAAAAAAAATGATACATCACAAAAAATTGGTACGTGACCAGAAATGGCTACATCATGTTCCATATCACTCTCTGCTTTCAGCTCTCTCTCTCTACTCTTGCCACCAGAAACCCTAATTCGGTCTTCCCTTCTTGGATTGATTTTTGATTAGTTCCTTCTCTGAATTTTGCAAGAAAGTTGCTGAGAAAATTCATGCTCACCTCCCTTGTTCAATCCATACAGTTGGATTGCAGTTTTGTTGAAAACAACGTTGCTAAACCGACTTCATTCAAAGCTGCGCCATCTTTAGTGGAAGCTGGTTTTGGGATTTAGTTTGGTCGTGATGCCACATTGGAAGCTACATCTGTGAATTCCGTATTAAGTATACTTCTCCCTTCCTTTTGGTTTCAAATTTGATCCGGTTTTGGTGCAAGAACGATTATTAAAAAATGCAGTTTTTCTAAAACTAGGAATTCGATTCCTGGAAGGCAAAAAAAAAATTTGAAATTTCGCCCAACCATCCAGCATGATTCGGCCATCCATATGATGGATTACACCTTCCTTCAATGAGGGGTCCACATGTACAAAACATATGGAATGGAAGGTAAGCCCTTCCCATTGGCTCTAATTACCATTTGAATGTGATCCAAAATCCTAACAATGTTCACTGCCAAACAGATACCCAACCAGTCGCCACCAATAGTAAAGCTAACTGGATCTTCTTCCTCTCATCTCCAAGTTTCAATATCGCAACGTATGGGGCGTATCGACTGATACTTATCAGTAAATTCAAGGAGTTAGGACATTTATTTGACCACTTTCGAAGGGTAATACCCTCCTAGTGATGTCCTGAGTCTCCTAATTCAATTCTTAAAAGCTAACTTTTTTTCCTAGTGCATCACCCCCCCTTTGAATCATGTGATTCACACATATCGATACTTTGAACACTGCTTATCTTTCATTCCTATTTATTTTTGCAGGTTTTCCTGAATCTCATCCTCATCTCTCATTCATTCATTCATTCCCACCGGTGGTCGTATTAATTTATTAGTTTTAACACATCTCTTGCATTTTTTTCTAAGTCTGAAGTAGTAGTTACCTGTAATCTATTTATGAAAATGGACGTTAGGGAAAAGATAACTCTTCCCGGGGCCTTCATTGATATCTTCAGATTCTCTAACGTTGCCATCAACTACCGCCCCCCGGTCAGCACACGGTGACCCGTTCTCGCTGTGAGAGCAGATCAAGCAATCCGCCAATAGCCAACGGGTTTAGGACCGAGACCCCCATAACCAGCCCTCAAAGCCAATCCTTTTTTTGAGGTTACGGATTCATTTTGCCAACTTCCCTTGCCTACATTGTTCCATTGACCAAAGGTTGTTCACCTTGGAGACTTGATGCATTTATGAGTACGACTGGGCATGGTCAGCACTCAGTCCTCCAGATTTTCAAGGGCTGTTGGGGGCACACTGGTCACCACACGACAGTGTGGTGCTCTTCTGGCCACTGGACCCTACCTTCGGCTGAACTGATTTTAAGGTGAGCAGGCTGTTAAATAGAAAAGATAACTCTTCCCAGGGCTTCTACTGACATCTTCGGACTCCCTAATCTATTTCTGAAAATGAAGTGAAAAACATTTTCAATATGCCTTATTTGAAGGAGCCTGGAGGCCAAAATAACTAAAGAAAGAAAACTGAACTGAAATTGGTTCTCCTGTTACACTTACACGGTTGATCGTGCAAGTGTAACAGTACCTTGCTACCAAATATTTAGGGCATTAATTGGTCTGTTGTAAAATTTCATTCTGGCAACCTTGAGGACGAGTCTGGATCTGGTCCAATAAGTGTCCCAACAAGCCATTGCAGGCGTACATGAACATTTTGCCGGTTTCAGATTAACTACCAAATATACGGTGCCAACAATGTCCCCAATTGGCCATTGAAGCCGCACATTGGAAACATCTTATGAATGACAAGTGAGATGTTCCCAATGTGAGGCTGCAGTGGCCTACTGGGGTGCCAACAATGTCCCAACTGGCCATTGAAGCCGCACATTGGAAACATCTTATGAATGACAAGTGAGATGTTCCCAATGTGAGGCTACAGTGGCCTATTGGGATGGAGTTGATAGCGTTTTGTTAGTAGCAGATCCCTACCCCATTTTGTCAAGGGAGATGTTTTGTTGGTAACTCGGGTTGACAAAGGAGAATCATGAGAATGCAGTAAATGACTAATAAATGTTGGTTGAAGAGACTGAAGAACATAATTAAATAAATAAACAAGAAGAGACTGAATGGACTCGGTTAATGCCAAACTGGTGCCATCTTTTACAGACCCTGTTGTTTCAAAGAAGAAAAACCGAGACTCCAAATGATAAGGGCTTCCAGGCTTAGATTGTAAGTCCATGGCCAGCCCAACGCGGGCCCGGGTGGGGCTTATGGGCTTTCTGGGTCTAATAAAAAGATGTAATAGTTTCGAAAATTTTAAATGAAATAACAAATAATACTTATAATAAAATATTGCACAAGCACAAGCTGAGTTGGGTTTGGCTAAGCTTTGGACCCATTGCACAAAAAGTAAGAACTAGGCCTCGTTTAATTTTTATACTTATTTTATAAATGAAGGTAAGACATTTATTTCCCATTCTTAAGCAATGTAAGATTTACATATCATTTTATAAATGAGTGTTTTTCCAAGTCCTACATTACCCAAATCTATCTTATAATAATAGGTCACGACTCCTTGCGCCACAATATGTTCTAACAAAGCCCGTGCATGGCTGGTCACGACTAGTATTCTTGAAAGAGGAAACTGAATGCAGTGATAGAGCAAGGAAAACCTTTATTTAAGTCTAAATATTATTTACAGCTTCTGTTCATCATATTTCACAAAGAGAACCAACCAACACTTAGAAACCTTTATTTCAGTCTAAATATATTATTTACAGCTTCTGTTCATCATATTTCACAAAAAAAACTAACTCCCTATACACATGCAACTATCCTAAGACACATAATGTACATATCTGTACAATGGAATAAACAGGAAAGTTTCATTCCTTTCTTCTGGAACAAATCACAGTTAAATTTGAATTAGGTGGGCATACCACGGTCTATGAACATAATCAGATACTTCTGCTACCACGACAAGTACCTCCCCTGCTTCAATTACCTTATCGGTAAGATCTATAGCACCTACCCGACTGAGAGCCATCTCTGACAGTTTCCTTCCCTGTAATCCACTTCCTCCAAGCACCACTCCTCTCATCGCCAGGTAAACTGCATCTGAAACTTTCATGAACACAGCATCTCCAGCTCTTAGGCTTTTACTTAACATAGTTACCATTATATCCTTCCTCGGTTGGAGATTCTTTGCATCTGGGACATTGTTCCCACCTTCAAAGACACCACTAATAGTTTCAATGATATCTACAATTCCAACATCCTCTACACGGTCCAGGAGATCAGAGAGTTGTTTGACAGATTCAGATATTGTTTTCTTCATATCAGTAGAATTGCTCACCAAATTCTCACTAAGGAGAGTCTGCCGCAAAACCAACATGCTGCATCACGCAGAAGATCCAGATTAGAGTATGTAGGCTATCAGAGTCCTTACATAAACAAGGATGCAATGGCCACAAAATGTATAGCTATGTATCCTCTTAAAAATTTGGGGGCAGGCAACATTCTTTGACGCCACTTGGAACTCCACAGCCAAAACTGAGACAAACCTCAAAGCCTAAACATATCTTTGTGTGTGTGTGTGTTTATTTATGGGTCATTTACTAAAACACCCCCTATAGTTTCACGTATTTTCTAAAACTTAACTATAGTTGACATTTTACTAAAACTCCCCCTATAGTTTGCAACAACCGATTTACTTAATCAACCTTCTGTTGAATCTTTTATATTGCTGTCCGAAAGACCACCTATGCTGAGTGGAAAATGTTAAAGGGCATGAACCTATGGTATTTTATTCCAAAAGTACCCCTAGCACTTCAAATAGTGCATCCCAGGTTATTGGTTTGCAACAGCATGTCTTCCTTATTCAAATAGGGAATAAAAGTGATCCAAAAGAGTTGTTGCCCATGTTTTACTAGGGCAATAATGACATTTCCATTTATTTTTTGTAGATTAAATTGGTTCCAACAGACACTTAAGGCCAAAACTGTTATTTTCCACTTCAATCTAATGAAAGGTTGATTGAGTAAATTGGTTGCGAACTATAGGGGGTGTTTTAGTAAAAGTGTAAAACACAAACTATAGAATAGGTTTTAGTAAACTATGGGGGTGTTTTAGTAAATGACCCTTTATTTGTTTATGACTGCTCAATCGAATGCACAAAATTGTTGTTGGCAAGGACTAATTAGGTTCAACTTGCTGTCAGAAAAATATTATGTGGGATATATGGGAACATATAACCCCAGAGAAAAGAAATGAAAATGAGAACCTTATTATAATTTAAACTTGGGGAAAAGGTAAAAAAGAGATAGAACAGTTACATTGACCTACCTAGTAGCAATTACAACAATCTTTTGAAGTTGGGATTGAACAGCCCTTAGCCTTAAGAGATTGAGCTTAAGGGTTTCAGGTAGATTCTCCTGCGTTAGCCCTTCTATTCCATTTACTAGCTTTAACAAGCCAAGTCTCACTAACAGATCAATCCTTTCTCCCATGCATTCTGATTGTGGATTACCTGTTCCAGAAAGTTGATAAAAATAAAACACCACTACCGAGGAAAATGTGGCTTCAAAGTACAAAAAGATCTTTTACTGTGGAAATATTTTGCATTCAATACCTGTGACAGCAGTAGTTGTTGCCAGAGGAAAGGACATCTCTTGTCTTATGTTTGATGGTATAAGAACACTGCCACCACCAGTCCTAAGGGCAGCAGAAGGAAGTCCTCGAGAAGAACTTGCGGAGATTGTTGTTAAGGCTGACAAGGAATTTGTATGATCATTCCATTCCTGCTCTGAACTAACCTTTAAAGATGAAAGCCAGTGTGCTGTCAATGGTAGAGAGGTTGATGCATCAGAGGGTGACCCATAATGGTTGGCAAATGCCTTCTTCAGGTATTCTAAGCCAGCTGGACCCTTTATGAGAGGTTCCATGATTCTTATACGTGCTTTGCTAATTTCTCTCTTGAGTTCCTGCCAGAATATAAAACAGGTTTTAACAAAGATACAGATAGAGGAGTTGAGCAAAATCACCCCATATCAGAGAATTATATTATTTTCTGAAACATTATTATTGACAAAGCACAAACATAAGATAAATAAACTCAAAAAATACCAATATCTCTATAATAGTACAACCCAAATATTCTGAAATTGGCTAAAGAATTAGAAAACTGATTTATTTCTCCATGGATTACATGCTTTCATATCTGCACCAGGTTGTCAGCAGTATTAATAGCTATAGCACAAAGTAATAGATTTTATACATACATCTAATGTGAGGAATCGGTTTTCAAACTTTCAAGCTTACATCAACATGTTCTTTAAAATTCTCAAAGTATCAATTGAAATGTGTTTAGGTGAAAGACAGAGCAATAAACTAACCTGAATCTGCTCCATCACAAAACGCAAACCCTTAACCATTACAATGGCAAATAAAGCATTTGATTTTTCTCCAGCATGGGAGATCTCATTTAATTCCTTCAAAAACTTTTTGTGAGTCTTCTTCATCTCATCCTCAACAGCTGGAGCAGAAAGCTTCAGCAGAGTGGCTAATGCAAACTCCATGATCTTTCCAAGATAATCCATGTCATGATTTCCTGACTTCAGCACCTTCAGAATGAAGTAATTGTTAATTAATAGTTTTATTAAAGCAGTCATAATATTAATGGCTGTAGATGGTCAAGATAGTTGTATCCAAAGCTACCTCCAAGAAAATATCAAGATCAATGGCTTGAAGAATCTCTTGTCTCCAGGGATGGGGAACCATCTCACACAGTTCATCCCTCACTTCCTTCATGAGGTTAACTACCCGGCTATAGTTGGGCTCATCCTGCTTCATAGACTCTATGATACCATCCCAAAAAGCATTCTCCATTGTCTCTCTAATTTTTACCTTCTCAACAAGTTAGAAAAAGTTAGAATTTCAATGCTGACATGTTACATGAAAAAGTTACTTGATATAAATAAAGAAAGAAAATCAAGGGGACATGATTTGAAAGATATAAACCAACCTGGGCACCATTTTGATCTTCATTATTTAAACTATCAGCAAAAGCATGACGGTGCTCATGGACGATTTCATTTACAAGCAGTTCATTCTCAATGATCAAATTTTCACTAGAACTACCTGATTGACAATCTACCACACTTCTGACAGGAGTAGAGTATTTAATTTCTTTAGGTGGGGAAGAAGCATCCTTCTTAAATAACGACCGGACAACATGGCCAGGCCTCTCAACTGGCTTACTTCCTTCATCTGAAACAGAAAAGGAAGACTCAGCTGAAGAGCTGGATAAACTTGGGGATGGAATATGAACAATTGGTGACAATGACTGGCTCCCATTCCCCTTTGCTTCAAAAAATCTAGACCGTGTGTCAGAAAGAGCACTTTCCATACGATCTATTCCAGCATCGCCACTAAGATGCAGTACTTTTTCTCGCAGAAGTCTCTGATCTTCAGTGACCTAGCATCAGAAAAAGGAGCCATAAAGTGAAATCCATAGTGCTCATAATAAATAAGAAAGGAGCAGGATTACCATCACAAACATGAAGAATACACACTCAACCATCAAACATAACAACTAGTATACAAGGTGTAGAAGTTTTGTTCTTTTTGTTCTTTTTTTGCACCTACAGGGAAGGGGGGATTGGCAATGCTTGATCCCAAACCACAAATTCCTGAAATGCTAAAAGTAATCTAATACAGATGATAAATCATCAACTCTATAGATTTCCTTTGCACCATCAAAAAGAATATGCTGGAATGGATGTTCAAAATTATCTTACAGTTGTAAATCAATGTGCTAGTATACATTTTATAACCTTATCATTGCCAATTGCATGAAAATACCCAGATTAACTTAATATGCAGACACTTATTTAACAAACTGGGAGGTAGCAGAGTAATTGTAAAACCTGCTTTTGAATAGCCTTCATATCATGTGTAAGGTCACCATTATCTCCTTGTGGAGTTATCTTGCATTTCTGCATCATAGAGAGCTCTAGCTGGCATGCAACTCTCACTAAATCATCCTCTAGTGACCTAGCATCCTTAACCTTCCACACCACAAAACAATATAGGTAAGAGCACCAAGCAGCATCAAAAGCTGCAAGCTGGGATCTGAAGGTACGCCGACCTGGCAATGCAGGGGCAGACTCAAGAGAGCTCTGTATGGGGCTATCCAATACAATCTTGGTCAACAATTCAAACTCTCGGACGAAATTTGCTGCAGACTCAGAAAGTGCAATCTCACGCTTGCCCTGCCCACTGAAAACTGCATCTGGATGGCCCAAAATCATGTAAGCACAGAGCACTACTCTCACTGGATATCTTGACAACTTAACTAGACTTTTAACTGCTTCTGTACTGGACACCACTTTCTTTGGCCCTTTGGCCTTGGATGCGTTACCACGTGAACTCCTGCGGAGTGGGGAACCAAGGCGTCTGAGTAGGTGATCAATGTTTTCCAAACTGGATGAAGTAGCATGTGAGACAGTGAATCGGCTCTCGAATCGATCAAGTAAAGCTTTCACAGTCTGAAGGGTTGTGGGCGACTCGATCCGCCAAGCAAGCTGCTCAAATGGCATTAACTTCACAGATTTTTCGTTAATTTCTAAGGCTTCATAAGCTTTTGTCAACGAAAAAGTAGTTCTCCTCAGCTTTAGGAACTGTCTCCAACACCTAATTAAGCACCAGAACTGTTAGAACTATAATAAAACAATTACCTTGAAAAGTAGAAAGAAAAAAGAGAAATAGACAAAGAAAATTTTCACCCAAATATCTTTGTATTTCAGCCTACAAATCTCTGAAATAAAAGAAACTTAATTCTCATTTTTCACATGACTTTTTTTATCAGCAAGAAAAGAACAATTTTATTAATAAGTGAGAGAACAAGTTACAGAATTACAATAAAGCATAAGTCTGAAAAGCAATAACTAAAAGAGAATTACAATGAAGCCCAAAACAGCTGCTGCCTATAGACCCCCTGCTTGGCTAATGTGTTGACCATCCTATTTGCAGTCCTTCCAATCCAAGTAAAAGTGGCATTGAGGTCTCTTAACAGGATTTCTATTTCCCTTAGAGTATGTCTATAAATCCAAGGAACACTACATATGGTGGTAGTCCAAGAGACAACCAGTTTTGAATGCCCCTTCAACCTCCATGTTTTTGAAATTTGCTTGTTTAGCAAATTTTGGACCTTGTAGCAGCGCCAACAGCTTAACCTTTAGTGAATCACCTACCCCTAAAGGTCCCAAATACATAGCCATCACTTTGCTTGAAGAATCTATGAACAGACCACCAATATCTGCCAATCCTGGGTTTACCATAGAGCTTGCATCAAAGTTTAGTTTGATTACATTGCTAGTTGGGGACTTCCATTCCATCACCTTTCTTTCTCTTTGGAGGAGTGTGCCATTTCATTCCATGCCCTTATTATATCAATCAATGTAAACCTTTGGAAGAGATCAATTGTTTTCATTCAGTTTGCAACTTTAACTTTATAGTTTCCACAATTTCTTCCTTTGACCTATGCTTCTCATTGAAGATCCTTGCATTTCTTTCCTCCCAAACAGTCCACATCAATGCCGCCCTAACTGTTTTCCACACGACTCTTCCTCTTTTCATTGGCTACCTTAGGAAGTTTGGGTTGAAGAGACTCACTACATCCTGAGGAGTAATCAACCAAAGAGAGAGCAAATAGACTCCCAAACAAAAAGCACAACAGGACAATGGATCAATAAATGGGACAGGGATTCTCCATTTGCAACACAAAAAAAAAAGCACACATGAGGGGAGACATTTATTTGGAAGTTCACCTTCTCGAGAAAAATCTCCCAACACAGTGCTTAAACTTTGGTTGGAATGGGCTTCCTCCAAATCTCTTTCACTAGGAAGCGAAAGAGGCACAAAAGTGTTGAAGAAAGAGGCACAAGTGAAGATACCATCAGAAGAGGTAGACCAAACTCTAGTGTCCTCCATAGATTGAACCAAGAAAGATGACTTAAGTTTGTCTAACAATTGAATAAGAGCCTCACACTCGTGATCCCTCAACCCCCTTCTAAAACCAAAGTCCTAGCTCAAACTGGAAGGAGAAAAGGTAACAAAACTAGAGATAGGTTGGAATTTGTAGTTAGACACTAACAAAGGTCAGGGAAAAGAGAACTGAAAGGAGTTTCAGCCAACCAAAGATCTTCCCAAAAGAGTACCCTAGATCCACATCCCACACCAAACCTGATGAGATTGATAAAGGTTGGATATACCTCTTGTATTGCTTTCCAAGGAGAGCTCGAGGTTAAAGAAAGGGCTACCTTTGCATCCTAGCCATTGTTCATCAACCCATGAATGCTTTCAATGACCTTATTCCACAGCCTATCTCTTTCCAGAGGAAACCTCCAAAGCCACTTTTCTAACAAAGATGTGTTTCTTGTGAATTAGGTTCCCTAGTCCTAGTTCTCCCTTCTCCTTTGTTTGCTAACTTGTTCCCACTTTACTAGATGGTCTCTTTTCATCCCTAGGCTCCCATAGAAAGTCCCTCATAAATTTCTCTAGTTATCTTGCTATCCTACTTGGAATCCTAAAAGTAGAAAGGAAATAGAGTGGTAGGTTGGCTAAGGTTTCTCTAATCAAAGTTATTCTCCCACCTAGAGATAAGTAGTTCCTCTTCCAAAAAACCAACTTCTTAGTGAACCCCTCTACCACCGGCTTCCAAAAAACCTACGATCTTAGGTTCTCTCCCAAAGGTAACTCTAGATACTCCAACCGCCATTGTTTAACCTCACACCCTAGAATCCCAGCCAACACACTCAAATCTTCTTCTTCTTCTACATTGATCCCTATACAACTCTTTCCCCAATTCACCTTCACCTTGGAAACAAAATTGATGAGCTCTCTCAGATTTCTTATATTTTCTTGATTGCCTCCCTCGAAAAAAAAAAAGATGTCATCTACAAATTGCAAATGAGTGATTAACACCCAATGATTTAAAAGGCATGCCTAGGCGCACAGGTGAGGCACATTTTAGGGTATGCGCCTTAAAGGCACATCCTAGGCACAGCCTTTCAAAAGGCGCACGCCTGGTGCGCCTTGTGCCTCAGCCCAGGTGAGCGCCTTTTGAAAATTTGATGCTTTTTTTGCTTTTTTTGAACCTAGTAGCTAGGCTGGGGGCTCCGCTCCTAGACCCCCATGAACCCCTTATTTGCTAATGTTGTTCATTCATTCATCCTAATAAAATATCTTCTTAAAAAGCAATTAAAATTATAAAATCATTATTTTTTATATGAGAATTAAGAATTTAAGACCCTAACATGGACTTGTTTGGGCTTGCCTCGAGGGGTGTGGCACAAAGGCGGCTCGTAGAATCAGGAATGTAATATGCTTTACATCACATTAGCTACTTGAAGTAATGCAATTGAGGAAAAAAAGAGATTATGGGTTTTACATGCTTGAAAATGTTTTATAAGTTTGATTTTATTTTTAAATTCTCATTTGAATAAGACCCTAACATGGACTTGTTTGGGCTTGCCTCGAGGGGTGTGGCACAATGGCGGCTCGTAGAATCAGGAATGTAATATGCTTTACATCACATTAGCTACTTGAAGTAATGCAATTGAGGAAAAAAAGAGCTTATGGGTTTTACATGCTTTTGATTTTATTTTTAAATTCTCATTTGAATATGCTTTACATGTTATGTTTATGTATTTTAATTTTAGATAATATTTTTTTAAAACATTTATTTTAAAATTTAAGTTTATATTTTTATTAATATTATGTTTAGTATTTTTAATTTTTTGGCTTTTTTTAATTTTTTTGGCATTTTTTGAAATTTCTGACATTTTTTATTTTTTTAGCATTTGTTTTTGCATTTATGCGCCTTGCTTCAAAAAGGCGTGCACCTCACCTTGCGCTTTGCGCCTCGGGTGCTTAAGCCTTCCACTTTTTTGTGCCTTGCACTTTTGAAATACTGTTGCCACCTCAAGCCTTCCTACCCTCCATCCTCTAAACAATTAATGTGTTCAGTTTTCAAAATCATCATACTCAGAACTTCAGCAACCAAAGTGAAAAGGAAGGGAGATAAGGGATCCCCTTGTCTCAAATCTCTTTTTGCTGGAAAGAAATCTCTAGCCACACCGTTAAATGAGGTTGAATGATGCACTGAACTTAAACAACCCTTAATCCACATCCTCCACCGGTCACCCATGCCAATTTTCTCTAGTATTTCATGGAGATAAGACCAATCAACAAAATCATAGGCCTTCTCTAGACCCAATTTGCACAGTAGCCCATTTCCTCTCCTTTTCCTCTTCTCTGCTATACATTCATTTGCCACCAATATTTGATCAATAATTTGTCTCCCTTCAACAAAGGTTCTTTGATATTGTGAAATTAATCAAATTACTAGTGGTAATACCTTCTTCAATCTCCCAACTAAAACTTCTGGCTATGATTTTATAGATACCTCCCACTAGGCTTATTGGTCTAAAATCTTTAGTACTTTTGCCTCCTTAGGGATTAGGGCAATGAATATTGAGTTTATTCTTTAAGAGATTTCCCCTTCAAAATAGAACTCTTTGAAAACTTCCAACAAATCTCCTTTGATAAAGTCCCAACACTCTTGATAAAAGGCCATGGAAAATTCATCCAGTCTTGGGGTTTTAGATCTTTCCATTAAAAAAAAGCAGCCTCTCTAATTTCTTCAAAGATAAGAACATTTTCCAAGGATGCTGATATGGCTTCATGCACTCTAATCCACTCAAGATCTAATAAGGCAGAGCTCCTCTCCCCTAAATTCATAAAGATACCCTTAAAATGGTCTATAAAAACCTTAATAATCTCCTCCTCCCCAATTATTTCATGGCCATCCATTTCCAACCTAGAAATTAGGTTATTTTCTTCTTCTACCACTAGCTAAAGAATGAAAGAATGTTGTGTTGCCATCTCCTTCCAAGAGCYACTTGCATCTAGATTTTTGTCTCCAAGAAATATCCTCCTTCCTTGGTACTTCACATGATATTTCCACACAAATATCTTGTGAAAATACAATGACAATTTGATATGTTATAATCCAATTGATGGATCATTTGCCTTTTTTTACTTGATGGGTTTCTTTTCTTTTTCTTTTTCTTTTTTTTTTTTGGATAGATAATGGATGAATCATTTGCTAAGTTATTCTGTATTCCTAAAGTAGGGTAAGTTCCAGTTTATATCATGAACTGCTTCTATAGAGTATGAACTAATTAAGTTACATGAAATTAGGTTTTTTTCTTCTTCTACCACTAGCTAAAAAATGAAAGAATGTTGTGTTGCCATCTCCTTCCAAGAGCTACTTGCATCTAGATTTTTGTCTCCAAGAAATATCCTCCTTCCTTGGTACTTCACATGATATTTCCACACAAATATCTTGGGAAAATACAATGACAATTTGATATGTTATAATCCAATTGATGGATCATTTGCCTTTTTTTACTTGATGGGTTTCTTTTCTTTTTCTTTCTTTTTCTTTTTTGGATAGATAATGGATGAATCATTTGTTAAGTTATTCTGTATTCCTAAAGTAGGGTAAGTTCCAGTTTATATCATGAACTGCTTCTATAGAGTATGAACTAATTAAGTTACATGAAAATATATGCTGAACTTCAAATAGAGCTAAGAATAAGTTATCAGACCTCAGGAAACCATTAAACAGCAAAAATAGTTACGAATGCCTAGTTAGGGCCAGATGACTACAGTTTATGTACCTCGCCAACTTTCTCGACAGGGAATCCCCTTGCTTGTACATCATGTTCCAATTAATGCGAACAGAACCATGGAAATTTCCTCTTTGTCTCAAATATTCTGCCCTCCGTCTCTTAGCCTGCTCATCATCAGATTTTCATTAAGAAACTATGGAACAATAATGAAAGAAATGACTGCAACAAAATGAACAATAAGTTAAAACAAAATATATCAAAATTCACAAAAGTCTTAACAAAAGATAAAGTTTTACTACAGAGCAGAAAGTACATACCCTCTGAAGGCGATCTTCCAACTTGTCCTTCAATATTCTTCTTTCAACCTCTCGTTGGTGATAGACAGATTTAGCTACCCTTCGAACTTGCAAGACCCTTGCATGTGCCTTTGTCTTCTCTGCTTCCAACAATCCCAATCGCTTCTCCTCAGCAGCTGCACGCTTTTGGGAAATTGCAGCATGCACACATTCCTTATACTTGCTCTCCTGAACCTTTCTTCGCAATAATGACTGAGCTGTTCGCTCCTTTGCTGCATCTCTTCGTTGCTTGTAAGCCTTCATGAGAAGCATCCGATTAGCCTCTGCCTGCTGAACTCGGGATTCTACTTTTGTCCCAAGCTCCTCCCTCTCCTTCTCAAAACGCATTTCTACCCCTGTTTTAGCTGCTTGTCGCAGACTGTCCAACCTCGCTAGGCGCATCTGAGCCTTTGCTAGAATGCTCAATCTGTTTATACATGCCCAGGTAACTTTTCAAAATATACCTCATGAAAAAAGAAAAATAGAAAAAAAAAAAAAAAAAACTTATCAAAAGAAAAGGCAAAACAGAAAATAACAATGAAAAAGAAAAAAAAGGAACATATTTTAACTTTCAAAATTTAAGTAGAATTTCCACTTGGGCAGATATATTCTTTTTGTTATTATACTCACAATCCACAAGTAAATCAATTTGTTTGTTTACTTATATTATAGGTAAAGAAAAAGAAATTGAATGGTGCCTAAGGTATAAGATTAAGTAGTTGCTTGCAACTTTCAAAACTATGCATACAGGTGAACTAGATAAGATGCACCATAAGCATGATAATCAGATAGACAAGAAGTTGATCCTAGTTTGAATATTTTCTTACTTCCAATTAATCAAGTAAGATACTTTTGAAACTAAATGGTGAGAAAAAGATAATTGGCCTAAATGAACACAAATCCTTTCTAAGATAAATATGCATATCAATGAAAATTGCAGATCACTGACTCATCAATATTTAGGTAGTCCCTTGGTTGATGAATTTACCATTAAGTTATAATTTCCTAAGAGAAGTATGACTGTGAATTAAAACTTCACTAAAAATCATCACTCTTATTGAAACTGTTTAAAGTAGGAAAGGAAACAAAGGCGGATGTATACCAACAAATGGGATTCTTGAAAAAGGCAATACCCAAAAAATAGATCAATCTGAACAACAAGAATACCTTTTCTGTTCAGCGGCATAGAGCTTTGCTTCAAGGCGCTGCCCCAAGTCTTCGTCTTGAGACGAAGACCATGACGGACTTCTTGGCTTTGGACGAGCCTTTCTTGACAACCACTCATGGAATTGCTGCATCCAAAACCAAAAATGAAAGAAAATCTTTTCAGTCAAGTTCAATCATACCTCAAAATACAATAATCTATTAAAAAAACACTCCAACAATTAATATACGAATAATTGTTTACAGTAAAAACTCACCGCCAGGAATTGAAGAACAAGGAACAAAAAACACACTCGAAAATTCTCTTTAGTGACCCAAAAAAAAAGAAAAAGAAAAAACAATTCAACTAGATATGGAAACAACAAAAGACAAGAAGAGTATCAAAATCGGAATAAGAAAAAGAATAAAAATGAATTTTGAAACAACTAAAAATATTGCAGGAAACAAAATCAGCAGTTCAAGAAGAACGTATTTACCAAGGAAATTTAATTAATTAATTGAAAAAGAAGGAGCGAAGAAAGAAAAGGAAAATCCATACGAGAAGATAACGAAAGAAAACCACCAGAGAACAAATTAAGAGCCTTTGCTTGAATTCTAGCAGCTAAAAGAAAAAAGAAGTGCAAAGAATTAAGCAAAAACTTTTCCAAAAAAGGAAATAAAAAAAGAAAAAGAACTCTAAAATACTATAGACTTCACAACCAAACTTAAAAGCAACAAAAAAAAAAAAAAGTTAAAAAAAGACCAACAAAAAGAACTTTTAGAACAAAAACAATCAAAGTTCAATTACCATAAGAAAGGAAAGTAATAAATTACAATTCAAAGAGGACGAAAAGAAACAGAAAATGAAAAGTACCTGTCTACGGAGACCAGCTTCCTTGAGCTTGGCTTCAATTTCTTCTGCGGTTGAAGGGCTCTTGCTTTGAAGAAGCCGTTTCCGGAACCTCCGAGGCAACTTCAGCGGGAAAGACGGAGAAGACGTCTCGGCCACTGAATCCCCCGCCGGAAAATCCATCGCAATTCCGGCTAGCCTCTCGGATTCCGTCAATTCCAGACCAGAAGCCACGCCCTCGACCACCTCCATCTTTCCCCTTCCTGCCTACGATACACACAGCAGACGACGACGACGAAGAAGAAGAAGAGAAGATGAGAACGGAAGTGAAGGAAAGAATAGGTACAGAAGCAACTCTCCTTTGCTTCTTCGTTTTCGTTCGTCCCTTCTTTTTGTTTCCGTGGCTTTTGTTACACGCGTATTTGTGTTGTGTGTCCACGGTACATGCTACTTTGACAAAAATGCCCTTAATTAATTTTGTAAAGGATCCGTTTGGTTTATAATTGTAATAGGAATCTGAATTAAATCTTTCAGAGTCAGAATCTCTATTCCCCTAATCTGTTTGGGTTAGATATAGAAATAGAAATGAAAATTGAAATAAGTTAAAATGGAATTTCATTTTCAAGAGAGGAAGTGGCCAGTAATTCCATCTAACCAATGGCCCTATTCTTCCAAATCAAATAGGCCCTAATTTATTTTTATTTTATTGCTTTAATATCTTATTCATATCTTATCTTTCACTCCTGTCCGGCTGTCCCTCGTTTTTTGTATGTTCTACTCATTTAGGCGGCGTTTATTTTTCTGATTAAAAAAAGGTAATAGAAAAAGAAAAGGCGCGTTTGGTTGCTGTGGTTGGGAGGACTGTGAATGAATTCTGGGAAACCCGATATCCATTCCGATTATTCGGATATGTGGATTAGACCTCATCTGATCCGAACATCCGAGTTTATATATAAATTAAAAAGTATAATTTTGTAAATCTTTTTAATTTTTCTCCATTTTAAAGACAATGAAACGGATTCGAATCCAATCCAAATACATTGAAATGGATTTTAGATCGGTTTCATTTTTGAAGTTTTATAAATAGAGTAGATTGGGGATGTGGCTGGACCCATTCCAAATCCAACTCGATTACGGTTCTCACATTACGTCCCTATGATAAGGATATTTTATGGGAAAATTCTCAATTAGTACTTAGTATTTTGGGCCTAGTGTCATTTTAGTCTCCGAATTTTAAAATGCGCTAAATTTTTAAAACGTGACAATTCAGTATTTATTGTTAATCAGATGTTAACCTACGATTAAGTGATTTAAAAAAAATGCAAAGGCTTTTCAAGTGTCATTTAAATTTCTTTATCAACTATTTAAATGTTGACAAAAAATTAACAGTCCCAAATCCTTGCCTCTTCCATTTAAGAAAGTTTGAGTCCTGTTTGAGTGGGCATTCTAGTGACCCCAACTTTGTTAAATAGAAGAGRCAAGGATTTGATACTGCTAATTTTTTGTCAATATTTGAATGATTGATAAAGAAAATTAGATGATACTCAAAAGACATTTGTGTCCTTTTCAAATGCCACTTAACAAACTGGTTAACAACTAGTTAACTGCAGGTATTGGATTGTTATGTTTTGAATGTTCGGATACTGAATTGTTGCAGGAGGCCGAAATAGCACTAGGCCCAAGGTATATTTTTCTAGATATATTTTTCTACTTTTATAATGAAGCAGTTTTGGAGGCTACTAAATGCTATAGAAAGTATGTGGGGAGATGCTATTTAAAAGATAAAAGTTTCTATTGGGTAAAGGTCAATCATACCCTCATACCCATCCACTTGGTAGAAGCATTTAATGAGGGTGAAGGAAGAAGCTAAGAAGGATTTCTTTTGAAAAATAAAAAAAAAGGAGGAAATGTTTACGTTTTTCAAAACCAATGGGTTCCAAGTCTTTAAAATGGAATTTTGATAGGTAAGCCAAGGGTCAAAGAAAGGTTCTATAAGATGGAAGTAAATGAGTTACTGCAAAATGGCGAGCAATTGTTAGATGATTTCTTTGACTCTGAAGAAAAAAATGCAATCTCTAGAATGGTGTTAAGCAGAAGAAAAGGTCATGATAAATTCCTTTGGAAACCTTCCAATGATGGCAACTATTTAGTGAAATCAGCATACAGATCATTCTTAGATGGAGAGGGTGGATATGGAAACCCAAGATTCTACAAAGATTTAGGCTATGTTTGGCTTGAAGGAAAATGTAGGGAAAGGAAGGGAAAGATAGGAAAACCTTTACAACCCTTGTCTTGGTTTCCCTGTCTTTTCCCTTCCTTTCCCTATCTTTTCCTTCAAATCAAACATAGCTTACCTATCTGAGTCGAGCTATTCTCAAGGAATATAATCAAAGAAAAGCTTTGTATCTTATGCAGGGAGAAAGAACAAACACACTATCATTTGATTATTTCATGTTCATTTGCTAGAGCAATTTGGATTTAGTCCAATTCAGGATTCGATCCTGATCTTTATTATAATCCATCCATACAGATGGTGGTAAAAGAATGGCTACATAACCTTCATTAGGAGGAAATGCAGTAATGTCTCTTTGGAAAATGGATGATATATTGATATATACGTGGTTAATATGGGACACTAGAAATAACTTGTTATTTCGTGGAATAACTCCCAAGCATGAGTCTACATCTACTTTCACAAGAAGTAGTTCTTCATCATTTCAATTCTATTAGGCTTGTAGAAACAAAAAGACAGGTCGACGTTATACAAGGAGCTGTGGATGGTTATTAATTTGATCTTTGTAGATGGCTCTTTCAAATCTATTAATAAGCTGCAATAGGTTTTGTTATATTGTCTTCTCATAACAATTTTGTTGTAGGAATAGGGAAGAAAGATACAATTCAAGGTATGGAACAAAGTAGAGGAATGAACCAACCATGTTGAGTGCATTGAAATGGGCTTTAAACTCTTGTTTAAAATCAAGTTTGAATAATCTCAAATTCCACTGATCTTGTCTTACAGCCATCTCTAAAATCTGCAAGGAGTAGATGGAACTCGACGTTATACAAGGAGCTGTGGATGGTTATTAATTTGATCTTTGTAGATGGCTCTTTCAAATCTATTAATAAGCTGCAATAGGTTTTGTTATATTATCTTCTCATAACAATTTTGTTGCAGGAATAGGGAAGAAAGATACAATTCAAGGTATGGAACAAAGCAGAGGAATGAACCAACCATGTTAAGTGCATTGAAATGGGCTTTAAACTCTTGTTTAAAATCAAGTTTGAATAATCTCAAATTCCACTGATCTTGTCTTAGAGCCATCTCTAAAATCTGCAAGGAGTAGATGGATGGAACAGCCTTGTTAGAAGAATTGGATTATCATATGAAGCTTTTTGAGAGTTGTAATTTGTCTCATGTAAAAAAGAGAATGTAATGTACTTGCTCATATACTAGCATGTAAAGGCATACAAGAATGAAATTTACAATTTACTATTCTACCACCCAGCTGGCCATGGGAATTCTTTTCTGGCCCAATCATAGCATGGAGATGTAATTTTTTAGCTCCTTCTAGTTCTTTGTTCTTTTGCCAAAGAAAAATTACAAGAGATGTCGCCGTTGAAAATGTGCTAAACAATTCAAAGATATGTATATCCATATCTTTGTTTATATTACAATAAAAGGTTGGATAAGTGTTTTTGTTTTGGACTTTTACTAAAACTAGTAAGTGTGTATGTGATTTGCATGTGGCAATTTTTTATGATGATGATGATGATGATAGTTGATGGAGGTAAATTTGACCCGACCTCTTAACCTTTCGACACGTGGAAGCAGCCAAGGGTGACCTGGCAAGAACGACAGCTCGGCACGGCAGTGCCTAAGGCGCGAGCTCCAAGAAGAGGAACCCCGAGCTCCCCCAAGAGGGACCTGTGACTCGAGCTCCCCAAAAGAAGCCCAAACTCTCCCCTTGGCCCCAAACCTTGCGAAGAGCACAAAGGGCCACAACTTGAACTGGCCCACCCCAGGGCAGTTCGGGCCACACTTCTATCTGAAACTCAAGACTTTACCTCGCGCACCACTCCGGCACTGTCTCTTGGCCACCGAACTGAACCACCGTACCTAACACCAGAACTCGTATCCTGAGGCGGCGCACCAAACTGACTTGGGACCTGACGCTTGACAGCCGCACTTCAACGATCACCTGCCACCGCCACCTCCAGTTACAGAGACATTTCCGACAAAGAGAGCAGTGGCGGTTGCCTGCCCCAACAGAGGTGACGACACCCGAACTGGCAGAAGTACAGAGGTAATGATACCCGACCTGACAGGAGCTTGGGAGTGAGTGCGCGAAGTGATTATAAAAGGCCCTCTTCCCCCTGAGAATGGAGGTACGTGATAACTTTGCTCTATCTGGTTTTGATCTTGTCTTCGAGGAAATATTAACTTGAGCTTCGGAGCACTCTCACCGGGTTCCTCCCCGGAGACTCCTCGCCTTCTTCTCCGTTTCAGGCACCTGTTGCTCCAGTCGGAGGCAAGGTCGTTGATAGTTAGGACCGACCGGATTGCACTACATCATTTGGCACCGTCTATGGGAAACGCTTCTAAAAGCCTCCCTCTAAAACTTTCATAGCACCTTCTGACCAAGAAACCCCAACACCTATGGCTTCTTCCAACAATGCTGGACGTAGCACGGAGATGAACGCCACCGGGGAACAACTTCAAGTCCCCGTGGTATGCATCGAACAGTTCACCATCCTCCTTTCGGTGGATGGGACCCCCAGCCTGAGTACGCCGCGAACAATGGCGCCTATGAATCTTCCCTCCGTGAACGTCCCCCTTCCTCCCTCTGTTGGAACCACCTTTGCTGAACCTACCATTGTTCCCTCGRCAACTAGCCAGAACCAATTCGATGACCTGATGCATGGCATGCGGGCCATCCAAGCCCAGATGCAGCAGCTTCAACAACAGCAAATCCACCAGCAGCAGATGCTGCACCATGTCTCCCAGTACCACTACCAGCAGCAGTTCCCCCAATTGCTTCAAAGTCAGCTTCAAAGTCAGCCGCAACTCCCACCTCGGCACCCCACCGTTAGGCGAGCCAAGCCCTCCCCTCAAGGCGGGCGCCCCCACCAGGAGGCTTCCCAAGCTCGGGCCTCCCAGCCTCGGAGCCTCTCTAGAAGCCAGGCCTCATCCCCTGGCAGGAGAGAGCGAGATGCGGCCCCCACCTCGCCACGTGCCGACGGATCAAGAACCCGATCTGCCAAAACAGCATCACCTCGGCACCCTCAGGATGGGCTCCTGCACACAAAGAACCGGTTTAGCGCCTTAGCCGCGGACTACCCCCAACAGTCCAGGCCCATCGAGCTTGGGAACACCGAGGC